GCAACATTATGGGCGGACTACGACCATCGATGCCTGATTCCGCACCAGAGGAATACAAGAAACTTGCCGAGCGGTGTGCTGATCCTGATAAGCGTCCAGAGAATGGAGAGGCAATTATTCATTAGAAGAAGTACAATTATTAATCAAAGTTTTAAAAGAAATTTTTGATTTAAATTCTTCTTGTCATATTAAAAGAAAAGATCAACTTAAGTTTCAGATTTACAAGCTTATTGAAGAGGCGGACAACACGTGGAATACCATATATCATAATGATGTAAAACCTTTATCACGTCTCGAAAAGGAGAGTAAATATTCTAGTAAGCTCCTACCTACTAGAGATTTGCCTAAACCAAGAAACAGTGATAATTTTCCTTCGCTACCAGTTTTCAGTTTGCCAGGTTAACACCTTTCATTGTTTTATAATTTAGCGATTTAAAATTTTGGATAGTGAATTATGATGTTTCTACTTGACACATATTCCATGGCTAGTAGTCAATACACTCAAATTAATAAAAAAATTTGATGTCTATTAAATTAGAATTGATACACAATGTGTGTTGATGCGGAGCCGTGGTAGTAGTTTTTCTTTGAGATTGATGTTAACTAACGTCGATTTTAAACCATAAATTATCCATCGCAGTTTTTAATAATGAATCTCGCAGTATTTGTGTACCATATATTCGTTTATATCCAATTGGACCATTGTGTTATTTATAATCGACAGAATATGCTTTATGAATTATTTAGATGTTACGAGATTAAAGTTGTAAACCATTAAATCGATGTTTCCTCCGTAGTCATTGTTCTTGAGTGTTTTGTATGTACGTATGTAGTATAAAGTGCGAATATGAGAAGGTATTCATATGAACTTTTGCAGCTCCCAACTGGAATGTGCTATATATTAGGATATGCCTACTCACGAAACGAATAGTCATGTCTCTTAATGCAACAGACACACTAAGACAATACTGACCTTTAAATTAATCTGTCACACTATGTAATTCACAGATTTATAAATGTACTACAATCGGGTGTACTAGTTCATACGGTCAAAAAAGTGCTCAGACGGTTCGAGAATGTTTAACCAAAGCTTCTTTAAACAGTGGCGACGTTATTATTGTTCTCCTTCATAAAATTTTTCAAGGACTAAGGCTAACCTAACCGCTTATTGGGACACCATTTCTATTCTGCCGACGGTCACGATAACTATCGACACTTGGCAGTTAGTGACCTTTTCAATCAGGTTTTACCTATTCTCGATCGATAGACGCTAATCACGTCATTCCTCGAGCATATTCACCATTATCCCGATTGGGGTGTTTGTATAATTCTCAACGCATTGTTAATGAACACGAGAGTAATCGCGGGACAAGAGGCGAATACGCTTAACAATATAGGAATTAACGGCTTCTCAGCTATATCATAATTTATCAGAGAACAAATCATTAATACAGTCAAACCTCTTTATACCGATACAGTCTTTGGAACCGTTTACTAATTATGATATAAGATTTTCTTCGGCTACACCGATAAACTGGTTATACCGATAGAAATGACGTGTGCCACTCATATCGGTATAAAGAGGTTTGACTGTACTCGTTTATTATTAGAAAGAAATATTAATTAAGCATTACATGAACATGATCGAAAATTTAAGAGACATGAAGAAAACATGATGCAAACATGATTAATTCTATCGAAAGTCGCGCTTCCTGTATACACGTATCTTCTATACCAAGTGCCAATTATTGCGTGACTGCTATTAATATTGCGGCGTTGCCAGATTGCACCAAAATTGTCGTTTACTAGTGTGTAACGTTTGTGATACCATCGGAGTTACGCGTCATTATTAACATTAGTCCTTAGCACCAGGCAGGCGATGTAGAAATTCAATTAGTGCTGTACAGTCAAACCTCGAAAAACCGATATCGCTTAAAACCGAACCTCGCAAACCCGATAAACCGATTATAATAATGCAGTACGAATTAATTACGTGACCTGATTCTTGCAATTTTATTGGTCAACCAAAAAATTTATTATTATATACTAATTATAATCTATATCTATAATAAGAATGCAAATCTCGCAAGCGAAGTAAGTCAACAACCACAGCCCAATATTTCTTTAAAGTTGGTGCTAGAAAGTGTGGATAATCTATTGCAATTTATCAGTAATCCTCCAAAAGAACTCCTTTTTGAGCATTATCACAGATTGACAGGTTTATTACTTCGTAGCATTTCTTATTCTTTGTTACACACAGTTTTGATATACTGTACATTGTGACCTTCATGATGATAACATAGTTTGGTGGAGTTTAGTATTAGGCTTCGTATTGTAAAGTAATTTTCTGTAAAAAGGCAATCGCAAGATAAATTCTTGTTGTGGATGAACTCCTTTTGTCCGTCCGGTTTATTGAGAATAAATATCTTTGTTAAAAGAAGCGCAAAACCGATAGAAAATGATGAGGACAGTTGACTGTAATATAATATCAACGCAACCTATGTAGTGTAGCGAGTAGCACTAACAGCTTATCCTATTGAATAGATAATAATAAGATAATTTGAATGTTATAAAAGTAAAAATTTGCAATGGTTGTCAATAGAATACTTGGTCAAAGTAAGCACTAAGACAAAGTCTAAAAGTGGTTGGGCAGGCGAAAAGCACAGGTCATATGGCAAATTGCTACAATCTGCCATTGATGTGGCCCAAATGTGAGATACAAACCAACGGATCCTTCAAATTAAAAATGCGCCCTTCTAAATCAGCAATGTTGATATGGACAGACAAGAAGGGATGTTAGACAACAGCAAATATGTTGGGAATAAGATGTCGAAGCGAACCAAACTAGGTTGATAAAATATGTCGGCCGTCAATGAAACTTATTATATAAAAGTATGTGACCATGCCCAATTCCTCGTTATATATTATAAGGAATCATGGATAACTTCAATATAACGAGGTTTTGTTACACCTTAGTTATGTCCAACTCGAGAATAAATCCTCAAGTCCCAACATAGGACACAATTGATAGACGTCTGTAAATGATATGGAAACTTCTATAATCATTATAAATTTATTGATTCTATAATATTATTAGAGCCACCGCAAGTTGAACTTAATCATGCTCCATGTGTTCACCATAAATCATCAAAGTAGACGGCAAAGAGCCTCTCCACATATCTGAATATGTATACACCGATAATTCCAATTTCGTAAGAAAAATACCACATGAAAAAAGCAATGAGGACAACAACTGTAGCTTTTATACTCCTAGAGTCTAATGTTATAAGCTTTGCTCTATTATTCGCTTCACTGTGATTCCGCGCTTCTTTAATCTTTTTCATAAGCTCATCGTCTAGTTTACCAAATTTTTCTGCTGTCTCTAACTCCACAAGAGCCTCTCTATATTTCTTTTGTTCTAATAAAATACAGCCTACCAAAATATTCCCATTAGATATCTAAACATACCATTAGTACCAATGGATAGCAGGCGTGTGGCTTACCTTTCCTATAATGTCCTTTGGGCCATTTATGGTCTAAACGTATACATTTATCGGCATATATAAGTGCTTTATCATATTGACACATTTTCAACAACACCTGTGCTTGATTCGAGTTTGTCAATAGACTATCAGAATCCATATCAAGGGCCTTGTTATACTTTTCATAGGCCTCCTGATATTTCTGTGTTTTGTATAGCCGATTGCCCTCTAGTCTCAACTCTTCAGCTTTGGATCGATTATCGATACTCTTATTGTCCTCCAAATTGTCGTCTTCTGAGTCATCCTTAGTGTATTGCACGCGCACCTTCTCTAGTTCGGCTCTTTTTCTCATCGCTTCAGTTGCTTTATCGTTCTTGTTGATAAGTAGGCATTTTGAGTATTTGGGTACAATAGTAAATATATGCATCAGTCATGTACCTGTCCTAATTCTTTATAACATTTAGCCATCCTAAGATATGCTACACTATGTACTGTCGTACAGCCAGGAGCAATGCCCTCGCCAACGGGTTCATTTGGAAGCTTCAATATTCTTTCGCCTAAAGATCCAATCAAAAGCGTATCAGATACATGACAGCTAATGCGAAATTGATGCAACTCCATACCTACCATCAACTAAAGCTTCTTTGTATCTCTCTAACTGTATTAGACTGATAATAGTAACAAGTCTGCGTAAGAGAATTAGTTCCGTGTATTGAAAGAAAATGAATAATGATATGATACTACCAAGTGCATCTACTCAATAACGGAATTGGAACATCGGGAAGTCTGGTTATTAGATAGTCGAATACTGTGAGAGCTTCCTCAAGATTATTCTCAGTCAGCAGACGCGTTGCCAGTCGAAGAAGTTCTTGTCCACTTTTTTTCTCCATTTACCTGCGTGCGCTAAAACATTCCTTCATTAATATGAACTTGTACATGACGTCACAAGGAATTTAAAATGCAGGGGTCGATCAAATAGTAATAGGTATTAACCATTCCCATGTATTTCTTATAACTTTTGAGGAAATTTGTCTCCTAGTAACAAAGGAAAAATAGTGCAGAAAGTGAAAGCGGAGCAATTTCATTGGCTGACATACAAATTTGACCAGATCACGTTCTAACTATTATGTATTAAATATTGATTTTTCGTCTCACCTTTAAAGAGGCAATAATTGAATGGGGCATCAACCATTTGTGCTATTTTCTCACGGAAGTCATGCTTTACTGCGGCCGCAGCAAGGAAATATCTTTAGCCAAATATTACACAGAGAAAATCATAAATAATATAATGAGCCCTTTGGACTATATTTTGCTATCTTTTTGTTTTCCAGGATGCCTTTGCTATCTATGCTTCCTGCTGAATTGCTTCTCGACATTATTTTAGCTTTTGAAGGTGATACTGTCGATAAACTCCTTCAAATCGGACATATTAATCAATATCTACGCAACTTATTACTCGATCGGGCTATCTTCTGGAAACGCATTGATTTGACAAGACATAAAGACAAAGCGCCTGACACTCTTGTACATATTTCAAAAATTCTTCCTTGTGAATCACTCAAGGTTTGTTAACCTGAGAATTGATATGGCTATGTGTTTTAGATACATAGTCAAGTGATTCTATTTGATTAATGTAAACAATATGTTTAGCAGGCTGTTTCTGCTATCATTCTCGATGGTACAGAAGTTAAGGATTTCAACGTAGAAATATTCCTGCCGAAATTTCCGAATCTGCGATTCCTGAGTATTCGTGAATGCCATAAATTGGTGTTGGAGGATTTGCATGAAGTTTTCGAAGGATGGAAGAAGAAAAACGTGACATTTCCAAATCTGAATGAAATTGATGCGACAGGGACTAACGGTAATTCTTATCCTCGTTACGATGATCACGCCGTTCAGAGAGGAACCTACAAGGTACTACAGAGAGATCATGAAATAATGAGGAAATTGCAGAGTGACATGATTGCGATTACGAAAAATGAGGACGCCATATTTCGTTGCAAAGCATGCAAGAAATGCAACAGGAAAGTGTCGGTCGAGCTGCAGAAGTGGTCTCTACCACACAAGTCTGGAAGTGCTATTTGTGCGAGTTGTTTATAGAATTTAATATTACTAATAGTAAATACTGTATATATACATATATATTACTAAACACTACAGACTGATAATGGACAATTGTATAGAATAAATACATAGTAATAGTAATAGCAATAGATACTTCTATAAATATAACAATAATAAATGATGTACCCGGGTCAGAATGTGTGCCAAGTGAATATAGTTTAACGTCATCTTCTCGTAGACTTAACTTGGGCAAATTTGTAGCATTGTCGTGGCAGATACCGTGAGAAAGTTATTATTGTGGTTAGGATTTCCACTCGTAAGTCGGGTGAATTTCGTCCTCCTATTTAGACAATTACGAATGTCTGCGCGAACGATTAATCGAATACACTTGATAACTAGTCAGGAAAGGAAGCAAAGGCAGATTGAGGTCATACGCTGAGTTTGCAGTGACGTAAATTTAAAGTCGGAAAACACGGGTACAATTCCATTGCTTCAGAATTGTCGGCACATATTTAGTCACGCCGATTCTCATCGTAGGCGTCTATTAAGGAAGATTGCTTACCTCAGAAGTAAATAATTCTGGCATCTGACCAAAACACTTGAAATGTTTGAGGATGTTCGTATAGTATGTGAATATGCGGTATTGCAATATCACTCATGTGAAATTAGACTTTCGAATACCGTATACGTAATATTGTCATCTTTAGCATTATGCGATTGAATGGACAGGATTCTTGTAAGAGAAGCTTAAGTATAGAAGTATGGATTATGCAAGTTAACGCCACTACTCTCTCAAGAAATATGAGATGATATACGTTCAAACTGGCAAAAGCTAAGGCTTAATTTACCCTCGACAGGAAAATTTCCACGTGCATGCAGGACAGAAATTGGATACAGTTCCAAATTTGTTATACTATTGGAGAAGTCATATTCAAATATTCGAATTAAAAGATTGCAAAGTGCGCTTTGTCTTGCAGCTGAATTTTATTAATATGGCGAAGCCTAGTGCTAGTTCGACTGATAAGACTTGTAAACAAAGCCGCGAATCAATTACATAAAATGAGATCATATGAATTGTTAAAAAGAACAATACTTTATTTATATTTATGTACCTTACTGTTACCTGCAGGTTTTGTAGGTTTACCTGATATGTTGGTTTTGAATCAAACTGGGTAATGAAGACTTGTGTTGTTGTTTATTATTTACACGCACCAAATCGCCACAACAGGAGTGAATATTCACACGCATGTGAATCTCTTTCACTTATATAAAGTCGAAATCATCTACCACCAAAAATCGATCAAACGTAATGGTCAACACTACCGAAACCATCCAGTTGCCAACAGGCAAAAGCGTTCAAAGTGAGTCATACTGCCATATTCTTTTGAAATAGTCAACGTCTGTCACTTACACACGTTCGAAACAACGTGTCTCTTACTATAACGGCTCGCAGTAAGCACTGGCCTCTTTATCAACAACGAATTTGTTGAAGCAATTGATGGCAAACGGTTTGGAACCATCAATCCTGCAACGGGCAAACAAATTACAACTGTCGCGGAAGCATCTGCAAAGGATGTCGACTTGGCTGTTAACGTTGCCATACACGCGTTCGAGAGCGTTTGGAAAGGAGTTACCAGTGAGAAACGCGGACGTTTGTTGTACAAATTGGCAGAACTCATGAGAAGAGATTTGGAAATAATTGCAGCAATCGAAGCATTAGATAATGGAAAGGCATTTGAAATTGCAAAGAAAATGGACGTACCAGAGGCTATCGGGACGTTTGAATACTTTGCCGGATTTGCTGAAAAGTTGAATGGTGAGGTGTTCGATACCCCTAACGATAGGTTGATATACACGAGAAGAGAACCGATCGGTGTGGTCGGTGCTATTACACCGTTCAATTTTCCAATTGTGATGGTTGCTTGGAAATTGGGGCCTGCGCTTATTACAGGTAATTTTACACCCGCAACTGCTTACCTTATACTTGTCATCAAGGCGTATACGTGTATCTTATCAAAAAAAATTTTTTTTTTTTTGGTTTGCATCATCCATCTTAATCCTAGGCAATGTGGTTATTCTCAAAGTTGCTGAACAGACGCCGTTGAGTGCTTTATATCTTGCCGGACTAATCAAAGAAGCAGGATTTCCTCCGGGTGTTGTCAATATTTTGACTGGATGGGAGGAAGCAGGCAAAGCCATTGCCAGCCACATGAAGATTGAAAAAGTCGCGTTTACTGGTGTGTAACGCGTTGGCAAAACAAAATATGGTTAGGTAGTCCCACAGAAAATATCACGATTAATCATTATGATCATCTTTATATCAAACAGGTTCTACTGAAGCCGGTAGAAGTGTCCTCAAAGCTGCTTCTGAAAGTAATTTGAAGAAAGTAACCCTTGAACTTGGTGGTAAATCCCCAAATATTATTTTTGCCGATGCTGAACTTGAAAAGGCCGTTGAATGGTCCCACAATGGAATCTTCTTTAATCATGGGCAGTGTTGCTGTGCTGGATCGCGTGTATATGTTGAAGAAAGTATCTATGAAAAGTTTGTGGAAAAGTTTAAAGAACATGCGGGTAAAATAAAAATCGGAGATCCATTCAAGGCGGATACGTACCAAGGGCCACAAGTATCTCAAGAGCAGTTTGACAGGTAACACGGACGATACCATTGCAGAAGGCTTATATGTACAGATGTGTAGTAACATCATGATATGTTTATTTAGTATCATGTCATATATTGAGGCGGGAAAGTCGGAAGGTGCTACGTTGGTAATGGGAGGTAACCGACACGGCGATCAAGGATATTATATCGAACCAACAATTTTTACTAATGTCGTAAGTTGCACACAAACCGTCTTCAAACTCCAATCACTTTATACAAATTCATATATAAATCTTAATACATAGGACGAGTCTATGAAAATCATGAAAGAAGAAATATTCGGACCAGTTGTTGCAATTGATAAGTTTAAAACAGTTGACGAGATTATTGAACGAGCGCACTTGACTCACTATGGTCTTGCAGCCGCTGTGTTTACGAAAGATATATCCAAAGCATTTTCGATTGCAAATAAATTGAAGGCCGGTACAGTTTGGGGTATGTGAGAAGGATACGCACGACATGTTAATAATAGTTAACTAAATGGGATAAATCAATCTAACCTCAATTCTTCACGTTTTAATCAAGTTAATTGCTACAATGTGTTCAGTCATTCAGTGTATGTATGGTGACAGTTGTCGTTTATAATGTTTTTGCCAATTCAATAATTTGTTTTATTTTTACAGGCCCTTTGGCGGATACAAAGAATCCGGTCTTGGAAGAGAAGGTGGAAAATATGCTTTGGATAATTTTACTGAAATTAAAACAGTTTGCGTTAATATGGGAGCGAAACTGTAATGTCTTGAAAAGCGTAAACGTAAATAGCCCGTTGTAGTAAACTAGCAAAATATACCCTGCGACATGGAAGCGTATGTGTGAAGCGACTGAATAAAGGAAGCAGCAGGTTTAAAGAATTGAAAACTAGAAATACAGTATGTATTACGTATAATAATAAGATGGCACTAAACTTTGTACAACGGGATGGGCTGTGATTGACCTATCGAAACTTGTAAAAATCGTACCGCTTATTATATACGGCAAGACGAAGTGTATGTTACGGAGAGCTTGCTAGGATGTTGGGCAATGGATGTTATTATATATTTGTATTAGTACGAATAATTATACTGTGATATGGTAGACGTATCGGTATAGCACAAACGTTATCTTCAATCTTGGCGGATGAAAAAAAGGACGGGATCACACTTCTATTGGATAAAGTGCCTATCGCGATTTTTGTACCTATCGCGACAATTGTTGCGCCCACATGACATTGATTGAATCTGATCAATAAAAAGTTTTGTCCCGATGGGTTGCTGCGGGGCTACCACAATCATGCCTGCAAGACAGAAATAATCATCCGATCTTCTGGCAAGTAATCCTGCTAATGCTTGTAACTGGCCCTCGTCCTTTTTGTTAGTATTAGTGTAATATTAATTATAGTCTATACTCATGGTCACGCGAAATTCTTATTTTGATTGGTCAATTACCGAATGATTGGCGTCCGAAGATAATCGATATAATAATAAATTTAATGTCAAACCCTAACTAACAATTTCATAAGTAACCGTAAAAACTATAGAACCAATGATTCTCTTTCAGATTTACGGTTGATTTTTTAATTGGCGGACTAGATAGGTTTTAAAGTTACATCGACTTGTTACAGTAGGTGTTATGCACCTGAAGATACTACTTCCGACCGTCGAGAATATTAATATTGCTATAATAATAAGAAACCATTGATAGTAATCGCCAATAAGTACAGATCTTATTTGTAACAATTTGCGCATTCATTACTATTACTAGACAATCAGTTTGAAAACAAAGATTCACACGTAAAGGTTATTGTGGAACTTGTGGAACTTGTGTTATAATGATAATAATAATAATAATAATAACGATAATAACGATAATGGCTTCGACTGTATTTGGAAACTGTATACTAACAAAATATCCTCGTTTCCTAGTACTCTAGTTGAATATTAAATAAATACTTTAGACTATATTAATAGTGGTATACCGTTTTAGCCCGAGTAAAATCCGAGATCTTCCGATTTGCATATCCCTCCTCTCAACTAAATCCCATCGCTCACCGTCTACAACAACAAATCACAATGCATGATATCCAATTTTTCCTTACAATGAAAAAAACTCCAATAATTGATGAAGATCTCCCCGAAGAGCAACGCAGGATGGTGTATACACGCAGCATAAATCATTCCAAAAGCGAACATGTAAAAAAAATGAAACAATGACTTCGATATCATGTACAAATAACAACGTCTTCATAATAGATATCACATAATTTAGATTATTTTTAATATCGTCAATACAGACATAATAAACTTTCCTTGTATAATTAAATACTTTTATCAACTTACACACGACTCTCAAAACGATAACAACGAATAGAGATCGTCAGTTTTTTTATTTCCCTATCGATAGCTAAAACAACAGTATGGAAAGGCTACCAGGAAACCAGATATACAACATCGGTGAACGACTTTATTATGGTTCAAGCCCTACAAGTACGGACTATGACAGTCAGTTTCTTGGTTCAGGCGTGCCGCTTGTAGTCGATGTCGGTAAGAAGTCCAGAGTCTGCTCAAAGTAGTTAACAAAGACAGCTTGCAAAAAGTTCTGTAGTGAACGAGATCGAAAGAAGACATTACATACATTATACTGATATACCACGAATATACCTGAACAATCGAACGTACATTCTATTAATTATCAAAATAGGATCATACCAATGCCAAGTAGGATGGGCCACTGAAAATTCACCGAGATGTAAGATTAGTTTTCGTCCATCTTGTTCGACTCGTCTGCTTGCGATATATTTTCACGATTGTTCCAATATCGACTATTTGTAGTACACTTTGATACTCTCGTATCGAAATACAGAGACCGTAAACTCAATTCCAACATATTGCTCGTGGGCAACGATATATACGCAGATGTAACGGCAAGGTCTAATTCTAAATCTCCATTCGATGGGAACATTATCTCTAACTTTGAAACAATGGTAAGCTGGTGTAAACTATTAACGAGAGAACATGCCAAACATAGAGTTAGTAACGAGGCGGTATCTTGTTCTTGTAGGAGTGTATAATGGATTATATATTCGTAAAGCTCGGCATTTCTACCGACCGTGTTGAACATCCGATATTGATGACCGAGCCCGTTTGTAATCCTCACCACTCGAGAAAACGTGAGCTTCTATTTTGAGATATGATTACAGTCATGACTCTTTGTTCAAAATTTTGTATCCATTTATTAATACACTGTTTGTTTATATTATCAAGAAATGTCGGAACTTCTTTTTGAATGTTATCAAGTACCATCGGTTTGCTACGGCATTGATGCCTTGTTTAGCTTCCACGCGAATGAGTTGTCCTTTGATAAGGGTGGAATAGTATTGTCGTTAGGGCATAGTACTACCCATATTCTGCCCGTATATAATGGACGCGGAGTATTGGAACATGCTAAAAGGTATTTCTATTCTGTCAACATATGGGATAGGTGAATATGTGATCTGACTATCTAAAAATGATAACCGTTTTTTTTATATAAATAGGATTTCCTATGGAGGAGTAACCTCGACCGACTTTATGCTTAGACTGATGCAACTGAAATACCCAACCTTTCCAACAAAAATGACACATGCACAAGCTCAGGTATTTCCCGCTGCTTTACTGTCAACTTGAGGAGAACGAGTGACGAAACCTTGTTATTGAATTTATTTTCAATATTTAGCATTTAGTACAGAATTACACGTATGTGGCTGAAGACTATTTCGAAGAATTAAAGGAATTCATAAATCAAGAATCATTTTCAGAGAGGGATTGTGTTATTCAATTTCCATATGTAGCACCGGTACAGTCTTTTGATACGACAATGTTATTCTCTTGTTTATATCATACTGAATGTTCATGGTGACTGATATGTTTTATTAAAGGCGACCGAGAAAACGGAAGAAGAAGTTGCACGCGCTGAAGAGAGGAGACAGGAACAATCACGAAGACTGAAAGAGCAGGCGGAGAAACTGAGAATGAAGAAGGTATTTGTATAGTGTTGGTTACATAGAGTCGACTCGAGTTTTTAGATTAGCTTTTACAGAATTGATGCGACAAATCCGTAGTTGAAAGAGAAGGAAGAAGAATTGGAATATTACGCGCAATTGAGAGAGAGCAAGTCAATGTTACGTAAATCAGAATTTCTTGTAAGTCATGGTTATTATTGAAGATTATATTTCACACACATGCTCGGCTATAGCAATTCAAACGCTTGCCCTTTTGTTTACAGGCTCGATTAAGAGAAGACAGAATAAATGACGAGAACGAATTAGACGATATCATTAAGAAAATTGAAAAAGCTATACAGAGAGCACGCAACAGATTACTCGGAATCGATGAAGTCGAAATCAAGGTTTATATCTCGGTTGCAAATTACAATTATAAGAAGTTTACATATTTACTCGACTCACTTTCACAGGAAGAACCGACATTTCCGTTAGTAGATATACCAGACAGCCAATTAAACGAAGCCGAAAGGAAGGAGAAAAGAAAGCAATTGGCTGCAAAAAGTTTACATGAATCGCGACAGCGACAGCGGGAAGCCAAAGAACTGGCTAGAAAACAACAGGTGGCGTATTTGTGAATTTGAACTATCGCGAATGAAAAGTCAAATATGACGTCAAAATTCACCCGAATTTTTACAGGAAGAAGAAGAACGACTGGAACGAGAAAGACGTGACAAGGATTTGACGGGATGGTTGAACAACGTGAAGACTAATTACACGGTGATTTACATCTTCTTGCTTATTTCGCATTTTTTTAAAACCCATCTCGTTATTCGGTTCTTGGCTTATGTGATATTTTTTCTTTGAAGAACCAATTGGAAAAAGTCAAAGTATTGAGACGCCGAAAGGAACAGTTGGCAGACAGAAGGAGCCATGCATCACAATTACGAATGCAATCAATTGCTAGTTTGGCAGGCGACACTTTACCACAGAAACGACGCCGGCGAGGACAAGACGGTTGGTTAACTATTTGAATGTTGGGGAGTAGTCATCGTTTAATCATCAACATTTATTCTGTGATATCAATTTAGAGGACACGTTTGGAATGGACGATAACGATTGGGAAATCTATAAGGAGATCGTATGTCATCGTCTCACATATCTTGGGGCAGCTCTTCATTTGTATTTCTTTTCAAAAGTCATTTTTCATATATCATTGCTTCCCTAATTTCTTGTGTTCTTCAGTCTCGCGAAGAAGATTCTTGGGAGGAGGAAGAAGAACTCACCACGCTTCGCGAGCTTGAATCCAAGCTCTTGCAATACGACTCTACTTTCCTTCTCGAGCATACCTTTGACGCCCAGAATTCCGTACAAAACTCCCTCGTATTTATGTTCACACATGGCATCTGGCCTTCATACGATCCAGATGACGTATCGCAGCTACATCAGTTGCACGTGAACATTGAGAGAATCAGAGTACCCGAGGCGATGTTTCAACCCAGTATTATTGGATTGGACCAAGCCGGACTGGTGGAGACTGTGTCAAACGTTGTTAGTAGGTTTAAGGAAGAAGAAATGAAGACAATGGTTCAGGTATGGATTTCATATTCGGTGTTATTTAATATTGCCAATTCTGTTCGATTTCTCTCGAGTTAACAGTACAAACTCACCAAACATGATTTACACAACCAATTTTCTCTCACTCTCGCAGTCGATTTTCCTAACAGGTGGCCACACACAGATTCCGGGATTATCAAAACGCTTAGAGGTATCTCTTAGATCCGTTCTTCCAGCAGGTGCAGCACTTCGGATTATTCCTGCTAAGGATCCGGTCGTAGACGCATGGCAAGGAGCAGCTCTCTGGGCAAAAACGCCCGAGTTTAAGCAGCACGTAGTTACTATTCAGGATTATCAGGAGTATGGTGGCGAATATTTGAAAGAGCACCGATTCGGAAATGTCTACAGGAGATGATGTGGTTGAAAGGCTTACTTGTTTAGAATACACTTTCATTACTTGTTTACACTTGTAGCGTGTTTAAAGAGAACGTATTCCTTTAGAATTTCGAATGAATTGACTGACAAATAATATCAACGTTCAATTCCAAGTTCTGTGATTTGTTTGTTTCATTTGGATATATTCCAAAACAAAAAAACCCCCATCATATTCTGCAAATGTACAAAATCGAAAGAGAAGATAAAAAGACAATAAAATATACTAAGTGTTGTTTGAGGTTATGAGACTTTAAGCAAAAGATCATCAAGGTACTAGAAGCTCTCATAATCTCACTGGCAATAAATGGAATTTTATTAGTAACCTTAATTTAATCTTTGCTTGTAGGCCCCTTAGTAGTCATTGGTGAAAACATACAAGCCCTTGCTAGTTAGGAGCTGCAGACTACACCTAACACTACAACACATATGAATAATGTCATTAAAAGATGGAAAGAGGGAAATTTACTAAAGGTTCTTGCATGACCCGATCTTAATTCAATTGAACGTTTGTGGGTTCAGCTTAAGTCTAGAATTCATTTACGGTCGTAAACGTTCAAGTCTAATTTGCTCCTGAGTGGTCTCGGACTCGATTTTTTTATAATAAATAGCATGCAAGATTAACAACTGTTCACTTACAGGAAGACGAGAATTATTCATAATATTCTTTATTTCTATTATATATACATATGTTTGAGATACACGATAATAATAATAACATCATTCATTGCATGCTATGACTACTCTAACGTTCCTATTTAGTGATAAATCCGTAAACCGATTAGTATAGTTCGTGGCAAAGATAATATAATAATAATGCTTACTATCACTTACCGCGTTAATCCATAGAACAAGTATCTTCTGTACTAATAACGTAAATCGATTAGTTCATGGCAACGGAAACTGCCGCATGGCAACGAAAACTGCCGCATGGCAACGAAAACTGCCGCATGGCGTAAATAGTATTCCCGTACGCAGGTATGAAGTATCCGCTATCGCTCGTGGAATACTCGCCGCTATAAAGATATATAATACTTACTACCACTTACCGCGTTAATCCATAAAGCAAGTGGTAACCTTTTGTTCGCATTTGACCCGTTGTTACTGTCACCTACAAGAGTGATAAAAAGGCGTCTAGTCAACTTCAAAAGATTAACACAATGTTCACCAACTTGTGTTTATAGGCTGCTCTTAGAACGAACACAAGCACAAGAAAGGTCTTCTTATAAACTTCCGCGCCGCGTGTAGTCGTAATTTTCAAAGCTATCTTGAAAAAAAAAAACTGTCATACACGCGTCAATTTATAAGTCGTGTTTGCGATAGGACGCTGCATGTTACGCAAATATTATTTGCGGGCAATTATTTAACTGTATACTCTAATTATTCAACTTTGAGTCTATGCGTAAACTCATTAAACAAACAGAATTACTGTTTGCATCAACTCGGGGGAAGAAACTACCAATGGCTGTCGACTTTTATTTGACCTTTTGAAGGCCTTTACCTATTTATCGAATTATTTACTAGAGCAATGGTAACCTTTGACTGACAACATTATTGTAGTATGGCATTTGAAGTCACGCACTGGGGCTGACTGTTGAACTCAAAATCACAGCTTGCGAAAGTTGCTAGTTGGGTAACCAGCCCTGGCGGACGGCGGACGGCCTCCTGTGAACGTTCTTCCGCAAGGTCTGTGCGCTTTGTGGCAGTAGGATCCTTGGTTGTTGTTTTGGGGTCAACAATCGTGGTAATGGCACGGTATTCAGATCCGATTAGATAATATAAATAGGCAAAATACGTATATTACGAGAATCATGGCTATATTATTGATATAATACAGTCGCTCAAGATGGAATGATTGCAGATGAATTTTGGAATATGATTGGCTTTTACATATACGGTTTAACACAATTATAAAGTAAATGAATCCGAAGTTGGAGTATAGTAAACCGGAAAATCGCCTCAGCAATCGATTAAAACAGATATTAATTTGATAAATACGTGCAGTGCACATTTCAGCTATCCGATCTGGATGCTTATTTTGCTTCTAGCGCTCAAAATGGCCGAACGCAAAAAGGACCGACTCCCGACAACTAGTTCACGTGACAAAATTGTTATTGGTTGCAACGAAAGAATTCTTTGAAGCTTTATTGTTAGGTCTAGTTGTGCAAAGAATTACTCTTTTTTTTTTTCTCCTTCAGTATTTGAGTTTGATCTTGTTTGCCTCATTTACGAAAGCTGTTAACAGTTAGGAGAATTTCATTCGTGAAGAGCGGGTAAATTCAATGGCATAATACAATTCTTAGTTAACAATTATGGATATTGATTTTACTGAAATTATAATGAAGGGCCTTTTTTTTAGCTGCTTTGATATTGATACATAGATGTAAATATCTTATTAAGGAAACCCTCTATAAGTGCAAAACCCTCATAAATGCAACATAGCACTCGGTCCCAAGGTGTTGCATTTATAGAGGTTTCACTGTATACCGCTTAACGAACACCGAGTATTTGCACCATGTATGAAACTCTTGGGAATTTATTGTATAGTAAATACAAAAGCGTAAACTATAGAGAATAGAAAACTGGTATTTTAATAAATAAATATATTAATATAGATAGATAAATAGATAAATAACTAAATCTCTGAACAAAACTAAGACGTCCAAAGACTATTAAGTTATCCGTAACCGTGCAATCGTTGATAGCAGGGCATTTGTCTCGCCCTATTTCGAAAGCATGTCGTGTTGAAATTACAGTCTCTTACGATTTAAAGATAATTGGTCTCGAGAAGAATTAATCATTCAGACACGTTGAGGTAATTCTGCAAAAATCTCATGACTATAAAAGTTAGAGAATATACTGATGAATATTGATTTCGAATTGATGTTTCATAAAAATTGTATTAAGCAATTACTAATACAAACCTTCAGGTAATCCTTCGATGTCATATCCAAAGTCTCTTGCCCACATCGTAATTTCTTCTATTCCGCAGCCATATTCTTTTGCCGTGTAAGACAGCGCCACTATTGCTGCTGAGAGTCCAGCAGGTGAATGGATTAACAAAGGTTTAGAAAGGGACTTGAGATGAGGTTCAAGCTTCTTCATTGTAAGATGAGTGATTGCAGTAGGTGACTAAGAAAATCGTAAACAAGATTAATGATTATCATCAAGGTCATAGTATTATGTCAGAGAAAGAACTTACCTCAACAGGAAAATTTGCATATAGTATCCCTTCTGCACTCAACAGTTTCTTCTCATCTCTAACATAACCTAGTATCAAAGGCATTATCAGTATTTTGTCGAATTCGTTAGACCATCAGCCATATATTTCATTCTATTTTCTAGCTAAATATTCACCTTTGCCTTCTTCGGAACACAAATCCAATACACTCTTTATTCCCGTGTTAGCTAGCTTTTGCAAGTCTTGTGCTTCGATTTGTTCAGAAAATGCAAGTTCCTCTGTTAACTTATTATAAACCTCCTTTCTCTTTTGTGAAAATAATGATACTAGTGATTGTACTGAAGGTAGTAGAGCTGGCTGTGTAGAGGTTGAATTGGACTCGTTGGTTGGTAGAGACGCAGCGTTGATAGTGGAAAGAAGGACTGAGTTACGATAAAATGCAAAGGTGGGCGTGGCAGATGGAGTGAAGGAGAGATTTGTTGGCTGTTGATATCATTACATGCGCACAGATTATTTCGTCAGAATGAGAAATTGCTTAGCCATGACAGTGAGAATTCGTTTACTTACAACCAATTTATCAAGATCAATGCTAATAAAATTTACATCAGGATGTTGCTTTGATAGCTCATCAATGCGAGGTGCTATCAAAGTTGATTATTTAGTAATGTCAGAGAAAATGAATACGATATTATTTACAAGCTGTAAGAAAATGTTTACCTATAGCTTTGCAATATGAGCAATGTCTGTACAACGTAAGTTAGTAACAAACGAATGACTAAAGAGCACTTTTTGGGCGATCGTCGTATAAAGAGTTATCAGGAGCGACTTACGTGGCAAGACACTCGAGCACAGTCTGTCATTGATAGAAGCATATGTATTAACATGTCCGCTGTCGATTTCGATAATTGGGGATAAACTTCATCCATGACAAAGCCAAAGAAAAACTCACCAATTTATCGCTGCTAATACAAGTTTTAATATCTGCCTCATTGTCTATCGTTTTAACGGGCATTTCTCTTCGAATATACGTCTTCGATTGACTCGATTGGAATGAAGGCGATTTTATCAGAGATCAGTGATTAGCAATCGTACAAGGGTACAGATTCGCCCCTTTCCAAAAACGCATCATAAAGTTCTTTGACTATGGTGATATTAAAATTAAATATTTATGGACACATTGCTGCGAGTTAACTCGTGACGTACGTAGCACTATTTTTTGATCAAAGTAATTGTAACTCGCAGCAAGACCTCATTCCATTCCTTGCGCTAATTATATAGCCACACGAGCCATATGGATCTTTCGAACGTTGTCAAGAACTTTGAGTTGCCAAAGGCTGTCAAAAACTTTGAATTACCACAAGCAGTCAAAAACATAGAATTACCACAAGCAGTGAAGAACATCGAGTTACCGCAAGCAGTAAAGAACTTTGAATTGCCACAAGCAGTAAAGAATATCGAACTACCACAAGCAGTAAAGAATATCGGGCTTTCTGAGACTGTGAAGAAGATTGATATTCAAGGTGCTATAAAGAATGCAGAAGATGCAGTCAAGAATATCGATATACAAGGTGCATTAAAGAATGTCGACGAAGCAATGAGAAGCATTGATATCCAAGGCGCAGTGAAGAATGTTTCAGAACAGATGCCCCAGAATCAACACACGAGGCGATTATCTTGTAAAAAGCTAAACATTTATTGTATTATTTTAATTGTTGGCTATTTTTAGAAATATTCCTAATCGTCTTTTTAATTATAGTGTTTGCTTCTTCGGCCTTGACGAGTGTTACCTCGATTACGGGTGTGATCCGACAACGAGTCGAGGAAACCACAAAGAATCTTCAAAATGAACATCAGCAATTTGTTCGTTCAATGAAAGAAGAAACGCAAGTGTCGAGGTCTGGAACACGTGAGTTTATATTTTGAATTACTTTGTGATTTACATTAAATTTAATAAACATGCTTACAATTTGATACTTTTTTTTTATGGAAATAATATAGAGGCAGTCGCTCCTTGGGAAGGATTGCCAGAAGAGGAGGAAATGAAGAAACAGATCTTGGCTCTATCAAAGGTATTCGGAAATGTCGTTTCCGTGTGTGTTCATTCTTGGTTTAACAAAATTTTATTATTCATTAATCTATAAGGATGTTCGTAACCTTACAATGCCACCGCCTGAAAATACTAGTTTTCAATTCGACATGGCTGTACATTCTCCTACAGCCATGGCTGTACTGGAACATGATCCCGAACTGAGTCGCCTGCGTTTTCAACTTGTTCCTGCAAAGTAAGGCAATCTTTTTTGTACTCAATAAGCACGACTCGTATTATAATTGTTAACCGTTGTCCTCTAATATGTTTGCAGGATCGAGGAGGAAATGTTTTGGCGTAATTACTTTTATCGCGTATCGCTAATAAAGCAGACTTTATTAGGATCTATTGATGCCATTGTGCTAGAGAAGGAAGTTTATCACAAAGATGATAACGAGAGTGAGGAAGAATCTCCAGATGCCATGTCAAAGGAGAAGGCGACGGGAAAGGTATTATCGATCTTTTTATTTGTTGGTTTAGTTATATGTTTAAGTATGTTGATTGATACATGTGCTTGGTCAACGCAGGAGGAAGGAGCCGAGGTGTTATTTGACGCAAAGAAGTCTGGCGATGCTTCAGGTGGTTTGTTCAAACTAGTAATTCGGTGACGGGCGAACTTATTTATGCTATGAAAGCTAACATTACCTTAATTTCTCCAGACGATTGGATTGATGATGAACTAGCAAAAACAACCGCCTTCGATGATACGACGCTAGCAAAAGGAACTGATTTAGTTGACGATGATGAAGTCCCAGAGGATTGGGAGGATCAAATGAAAGCGATGTCGATGCTTCCGTAGCAATATATTATATATTATATATATATTTAGTTGGCTTAGCTGTAAGAAAGATAGCATCAGTGTTTGAAAATGTCAATGCTAAAATATGCTTAGCAGGTTATACATTGTGTATTGATTATAAAATTTTATTTAGTAAATTCCTAATTTGTACAGTATTTGTGACGAAAAGTGATTAAAATCATCCAATGCCTTCATATTGTTTCAGTGCTTCCGGTGTTAAGGATGGTTGGACATTCTTCATTGCTTCAGAGAAATGTCTCATTTCCTGTATAGTAAAACGCCCTAAATACGATTAAGAAGCCAACAAATCAATCTACAGACTCACAATTTGACAATAAACATACTATATTCTGAACTGATATCGTTTCTCGCAACGCAATCATTGCCGCTTCCCGACATAAATTTTTTAAATCCGCCCCTGAATAAAATTCAGTCTAATTAAAAAATAAGCGCGTAAGCATATCTTATAGTTGTGTAAACAACAAATCAAATACGACAACATAGTAAATCAACGGGTCAACTACATGTGTGCCTAATAAAGACACCAAATCAAATACCTACCTTTTCAGCTAGTTCATCCAACACAACGTCATTGCTTAGAGGCATATCTAACGTATGAATTCGCAAAATTTGGCGACGCGCCGCTAAATCAGGCGGGGGCACCTTTTATCGCAAAGATTTGAGTACTACGGCTGCATTTTTTACATATTGTGCAGTCAAAAACTTACAAATATCAATCTGTCGAATCTCCCAGGTCTCAACAGGGCAGCATCGATCATATCGGGTCGATTAGTAGCTCCCTATTAAAGATCACAGTTACTTTAGGCAAAAGCCAAGATCGAGCAAACACAAATGTAAATTTACCATGACTAGCACACCGCTTGCCCCTTCAATCCCATCCATCTCGTTAAGCAGCATAGACAAAATGCGTTCTTGCACGCTATCTCTTCTATGACTTCCATCGAAAGATCTTTTGCCGACAATCGCATCAATTTCATCGAAAAATACAATCGACGGCGATGCAGAGCGTGCCCGCTGGAAAGTGGAGCTTACTGTGAAACCCAGAGACAGTTGGAGTGTCATCATGATTAACTGCAAAAGCCATACATAGCAACATACTTATTTTCTCGGAATCGCCAACATACGGGGAGTATAAATGGGCTCCATTGATTGAAATAAAAGAAGCTCCGGATATTGTTGCTATTACCTATTAGATGTGAGTAATGGTATCAATGTGTTATGTCAAAACCAAAAGCAGACGGTATAACGTACATGCATAATATCAAAAATAAAAATTTGTATATAAAACAACAGTTAAAACAACCATAAAGTATTCTTGAGCAGGTCGGTTTACCGTTATTGACTCTAACCTTAACTAAGCTAGTTTTACTACATCCCGGTGGTCCATATAATAATATTCCTCTGGGTGGCTTAAGTCCTAATCTTTCATAAGCATTTCGATAGTTGATCGGCCATGTAACGGATTGCTGCAGTTTCTAAAAAGTGATATTTAAAGAAGATTAAAAATCAATGAACCAGATTTACAGACAAGAAGTCAGTCGAGACCTTTTTCACTTCTTCTAATCCGCCAATGTCATCCCATGTCGTTCGCTCTACGTCCACTTGCAGTCCACGAGAGATCGAGGGCGCTACGCGTGATATTGCTGATTTAAAATCAGTCATTTTAATCTGTCTGCAAATTTATATTAATCAACTTACTGGTCAACCTCTATAACATATTAAGGGGGAAAAAGTATAACGTACTTCTCAGATCCGTGAACTGTGTGTCGATTCATGGCATTCATAGCGGCCTCGCGACATAGCGAGGCTAAATCTGCACCAACGTATCCTTTTGTCACTGAAGCCAAAGCCTCTGGAAACGTATAAAAGAAATCGAAGACTAAGAAAAGAAGTGACAATAACTAAAATTTTCATCTCGTTAATCACATACCCAAAACCACACTAGAATCAATTGGCATTGTGCTCGTTATAGATTTTAGTATGTCAAACCGAGCCTTTTCGTTCGGGATATCAACAGCAATTTCACGGTCCAGTCTTAATTGTACAGATATGAAATTTTAACGCTACGTTTTTACGACACAATGTCAACAGAATACATGATACATACCTACCGGGTCTTCTTAACGCAGGATCAACAGCATTCGGACGATTGGTCGCTCCGATTACTATTGTTCGCCCCCGCGATTCCATACCATCCATCAAGGTCAGAAGCTGGGCTACCATACGCGATTCATGAGATTTGGCTTGCGTTCTATGGGGAGCAAGTGTATCCTGTGCATAAAGTAAATCTGCAAGTTAGTTGGTCAGTGGTGATCGTGGTTTGCTAATAGTTTTATTTACCAATTCATCTATAAATACAATCACTGCTTTATTTGGATCTGCAATAGTTATATGGTTCGCCTCCGCAAACGTTTCGCGAAGCCTTTCTTCACTTTCGCCGACATATTGACCGTGGACATCTGATCCATGAAGCGTAATCTAATATTTAATTAGATAAAATCGATCTATTACCAATTTAGCAGACTTACTAATTATACATACCAATTGCGCTTCACAAGCTTCTGCGACTGCACACACTAAGTAAGTCTTTCCGACTCCTGGCGGCCCATATAACAACACCCCTGTATTACAGTAAATATATATTCGCATTCTATACTCGTTCCTGTTCAAGACCACTCTCTCACCTTTCGGACATTCGACGCCCATTTTCCGAAATAGATCAGGATACAAAAGAGGGTAACTTATAACCTCATACAAGGCTTCATAGGCCTTTTCGAGACCAGCTATGGGCTGGTGAGATGGTTGCTCTTTAAGAGATAATGAGAAAAAAGCGTCCGTAATTGAGGATATCTCTGAATCGTCAAACAGAGCATCTTCTTCCTCGGTAGCAGATAACTTTATTTGAGTTGCAGGTGTGATCAACACTTCAACATTCGATGGTGTTGTAGATTGGATCTTGATTATAATAAACGAATAAGAAATGTCTCCGTTCAAAAACAAAACGCTTGTATTGATCCGCACCTTTATTTTCAAACACTGCCGTTCGTCTTGTATGGTACATCCATCAATCAATAAAAGACCAGCCAGTCTTCCTTTGATGGTCTATCGATAAGAGAGTTTATGATAATCTCATATATTCTAAATTTGCTCATACGGGGAAAAAAAAGTTACCTCAATCTTCATTTCCTGTGAGGCATTTCTCCAAATGAATCCAAACTCACTGAATTCCCTCCATTCTCTATTTGAGGTGTAGGAATCTGAGGGATGGTGAAGTTCGATTGTGACAGTCAGCTCTTTCGCAACCTGTGGGAAACGTGGCATAGGACATATGGAGCACGAACGTCCTACTAACGATAATGCTTGGTATTTGAACGTATTGTCATCCGGTAAGTGATATTATAAGATGTCAATTACTTACCATCATATGATGGATGTTCTCCATTAGGAGAAACTTTTGGTTTCGTTACAAAATCGTCCACCTCTATAATGTCATCTTCAGCTATATCGATAGGCCATACGCAAGCATACAGTATCTATATACGCATACCGTTTTAGCGTTATGAGTGAAGAATTTTTATTTGTTCTGACTATTTGTGACAGCATGGTACCCGATCGTTGTCCTCAAATTTGATCCATTGGCCTGTGGCGATACCATTCCTTTTCATGAAATCTCTCGGAATCCTACATCTAGCGGATCCCAAATCATGTGGTGCAGGCTTATGGAACCTAAAGTGCCCATGTATCGTGGACATGTTGGAAGACAATGTGAGACTGGCTAGTTTTACGGTTTTTTAATAGTGATCTAAACGACCAATGAGAAATCGCCTAATTAACGTGGGCTGTCTATGCATATCGACTGTGAGGCAACAGACGCTTCAAAGCAGTTCTTGATATGGTAGTGAAGCCTTTCCTGACATTCTATATGACTTGAGACGATAACTTTGTAACAATGTTATACATTACAAACTGAGATACATCACTCAATTAAGTGTGTTGGCAGTCATGATGGATGTGAAAAGTCACATACGATGACAACTTATTTATTAGACTTTTGCAGATGCCAAGCGTACTTAAACAAAACCCAAAAGCGTTGATTATATTGGCGTAAAGAAAATTGTCATTTATTTTTCTTTTTGGGTTCCCCGACAACAGTGACCTCAAGACCTGATTCAGAAGATTCATCAGTATTAAAATTATAAGGAACAAACTCTTAATTTCAAAAAGGAAAAAAACAATCCCAACCGGGTGGAAGCGATTTCTTCAATTTTTCAGCTTTTTCTAAATCGTCCATAACGAGTGTATATAAATATCTTGAGCATCGAAGCTTGAACTTGGTCTTTGTTCCATTCTTTTTAATGCGGGCGGCTAAATTAATGGGGAAAACATCATATTCGATCAGAAAATAACCCGATCCGGGACTGACGCTGCGTAAATCTATGACACTCTAGAGAATTCGGCAGCTCTAATCAGACTCGGTACATACACTTTGCGTCTTTCTTTATAGCGACTTTAAGAAACTCCTTAATATCTGTTATTTGCTTTGGCTGTGTTAAGAGCGACCAGAAAGTATATTATTGACGTCTCTACGTTGTCTGCTGATTGAATACAAACAAGTTGATGGATGACTCACCATCTTGAATAGAACGACAAAACCGACGAGAGGAAGGATTTAACTATAAATTTGATATTAGATATTTGAAGAAATTAACCGTGACGTCATCAAATAATAATTTTGTACGACTATTGATCGCATATCGTGTGTTATTACTTCCACAACGATATCATAATAATAAGTTAATGGTCGATATGAATTTTATATTAATAAAGTTAATAGATAAGCAGAGTGGAGGGGTCAGTTCTAAATTTACTGTATCTTCTATCCAGTGGTATGCCATGTACGGTTAACGAAATAGCTCAATTCGAGAATAGCGGGATGATTTTAATGATTATAAGCTTGTTTATATCCAAGAAACGAAAAGTAGTCCCTTTAATGGTCATAAATATTAAGCATTTTAAGGAATTTCATAACACCCTCGTGTCACTTACGCGCTGAATAATCATTGGTCAAAGAAATTACTATAACATGAATACATTCCCATTTGAGAGAATGATGAAGAGCATGCCAGCGTACAAGGCAGTAATATTCGACATAGGCGGTGTGTGCGTGGGCTCTCCCTTTCAAGGGATTGCGAAATATGAGCGCGAGCATGGTTTACCGCCTGATTACATTAACGTTGCTATGTATGTCGGTTATTTGATCCAAGAGTTACATGAGAATTGTGTTTAAGTGAGATTGATTCATTTATGTAGAGTAAGCCGTGGAGAGAATGGCGCATTTCAGGTTGGATTGTATTTGCTATTGTCAGATATTTTTGTGCTGAATTCTAATCTGTGTAATTTTATAATGAAGCGTTTGGAAAGAGGCGAATTAGATCTTTACGCGTTCTACGATCTTTTTGGAAAAGAATTGTCGGATCCAAGAAATCTCGAATATTACAAAGAATATCGACGCTTGAGAAAAGGTTGATGTTGATAATGCTTCATGTTGCATTCCATCCTTACCAACAGATGATTCGACAAACTTACACGTAACTGTTCCAGAAAAGATTTTTCCAGACCGAATTTTATCTGATTCGTCCATAATAGACGGCAAAGAACTTTTTCGTGCCATGATGGCAGAAGCCTCACGAATCGATCCTGTGGTTTTCTCTTCTCTACAAAAACTTCGAGCGGGTAACCGATTCAAACTTGCAGCACTCACTAATAACTTCTTTTTGCCTAAAGATGATGTTAGCTTGGTTGGCAATATACCCGAGAAGTTGAAGAATATCTTTGACGAATTTATAGAGTCGAGCGTTGTGGGATTAAGGTCAATATCATGAGTGTCTGTTCGTATGCTGTTGAATCGCCAGGTACTGACCCTTTTGAATAGGAAACCTGATCCTCGATTTTTTTTGTATGCTTGTGAGAAACTTGCAATACAGCCAAGCGATGCTGTATTTTTGGATGATATCGGAATGTAAGCCTTTCTCCGTTTATATTTGTATCCGCGATTGATTTTGTCGTGAATGTCAAGATGCCTACTAATGTTATACAACCGCAGTAATTTGAAGTCTGCCAGTGAATTAGGAATGAGGACTATAAGTAAGTTGTTATATTATAATCTACTTTATTAACAAATTGGTCACTTTTACTAATTTAATACATTAATTGAAGAAGTTGAATTGGGAAAGTCTCGGAAAGCTATAAAAGAATTAGAAAATGTCTTAAATGTTAAGTTGTTAGATGAAGACTCTAAATTCTAATTGTAAGTTTGAGTTCGATATACAATGGTGTATTATTCTATTTCATAACATTTTTATTATTTATGACAACAAAAAGACATTCTTTTCATTCTGAATCATACGCTGAACTCTATTTGTTCCCACTACTCTTTCCAAGCGTAGCTGATCGTATTTGGTAAACAAAATATGACAGCTAATGGCATCATCTTTTTCCTCATTACCAGCCTTTAATGATAACATATTCACAAGCTCGGAGTAAAAATGACTATGATCAGGAAGAGAGTAGAAAAGAATATGACGAATCCCTCGTATTATGTATCTACAGAGTCAATAGATATCGTTATCCTCATGTAATATAATGAATTAAGATTGGAGATTATGGACCCTACCCTACCTTCGGAAGAAATGAAATCGCTCTGTAAGTAACAAGTAGCTTCGATGACCATTAAAGAAATGACTACGAGCCCTTGAGATATCTGAACCTGAAGAGTAACTGTGGAATACTGTTGATTAATAGATTCGATCGTATAGTCGATAAATCGTGACAACGAATCATACATACTCTTGCAAACTTGTAAACGAATACTCGTTATCCTGAAAATAGTTTCGTACTCTCACATAATCGAAGTACGATGGAATAAATACTGCAAAATGAGCCTTATACATTTGACGCAGAGTTGGGAATGTCTTCTCGACGAAATACTTAAACCGTGCATCATCTGCCTCTTTCATAGATGAGCAGTCTATTCGCATAAAGATCTAGAAAAAAAAACAAACCAACATTAGATTTTATTCATTCTTGCCGGCTGGACCCATAATATGATTACCTGATTCACGTCAGGAATAACATCCAGTATGGCACCTTCATAAGTTTGCCTCATCTTTAATTTTCCGGCAATGTTCAGCATACGCTTATTAAACAGACTGTTCATTTCCGGTGTTAAAAAGTCAGAAAGAACAATAGTCTGACGAAGATACTTGCTTCTAATGTGTGCGTACAATGAATCACAAACAAGGCAGTTAGGTTCAGTTCCAATAGTCCAATGTAACAGAATGATGTAATGTGCATTGCTGGTTTCTACGGACCTATCATCAAGATACCAATTCTTCACTCGGCTAAAATCACAATCATGTGCTTCTTTGGGTATCAAGTTCAAATGCTCAAATATGTGCTAATAAAACATTAAACATCAGAATAATACATGTCAATCCCCTTTCACTTGAATACAAGAAACTCACTCACCTCAACGTGATCCCAATTTTGCATAAGAAATGCGTTGCACTGATCCAATACTACGATTTCTATAGAAGAAAGAAAGTCGAAATCGCGCTTTCTGTCTCTGTCAAGTGTCTTTGATTAATAAGACTGATAAAGGAAGCAGACACACTACTATAAAGTTGCATTAAAACTATTCTTACTCTTCGCCTCCTATTACTGTTCGTAGCCCAAGCGGAGATGCAATGATAATATCGGATGTGTAAAACTTTGCGTAAAACTTGACTGTTTTACGAGTGAATTTAATCCCAAATCGAAACATGTCATCAATGTTTCCTTTAAATGTTGCCACGTAATCCGCTACACATAAGAATTGGGTTAATATATTAAAGTAAGGGTTCAATTGAACCGACTTAGCACAATGCGTATACCTGGTTTAGTCGATTCAATCTCTTCTTCAGAATCTGCACCAAACTCCCTTGAAAATCTCTTGTGATTTTCCTATTAGATCATGGCGGCAATTAATATCCAATATTTACATACGTTAAACTCGCAAACACTTTTCCCCACACCTGTTGCTGATCTTTCAGCAGACTTGTTAGAATCTCGACGATTTCTAGAGCAGAATTCCGAAAAGGTAATAAAATCAATGCTTTTGGTCTTGTAAACCCTTGATCACGATACTCGACATCTTTCCCCACATTTTTTGTAATCTTTTCATTATTCTTTAGCACAACGCTTCTTGTTCTACAAATCTTTATAATCAGTTAATTGACGCATAATGAGGCCGTCTACAATTATATACTTACTTGAGAATGTGATTCACGATATGTAGTAAATAAGCCCGTCTGAGTTCGAGCGAGTTGTGAATAGTGCGATTCGTAAACAGAATGTCTTGATATTCGTTTAAATAATAAAAAAATCGGCCTTGCAATTCGGAAAAAGCTTTTTCATCCAATTTTCGCTCTGAATTATTTGATCGAAAACAGCCATGAGATGATAAACCAATAACAGAAACCGCAGAAATAATCACATACTGTTACATTCTGACCACGATTCACGGAGCTTCTTTTTTATCTAGGAAGAACGTATCAGAGACAAATTTGAAAGCACACATGTCCAATAAGGTTTCTTTACTCACTTTGTACGTGTCAATGCTTTCGTAATCAAATTCAAGTGGTTCGATTCTTTCATCGCTGTCGCTGACATTAAATTTTGACACCAAACCTAAATAGTTATCTTTGAACTTGACTGAATCCCACTTTTTTTGGTCCACTAACGATACTTTTTGATAAGAGGCATGCACGCCAAAATGATGTTCGTAATTATCTCGATCACTCATTCCCAAAAGCCAAACAAGCAAGAAACTAGGCTTTTCAAAGCAAACGGGATATTTCTCAACTTCGCTAGTGAACCCATAAGCGTGTACGTTGAAGCCTACGTCCCTAAAGAAAATCCTGATTGGCTCGAGCTGATCTGATGAATCAGATAATAATAATAATAATAAGTGAGTCACATGTAAAATCTTCCAATGATCGACACTCAGAAAACAGTCGAAGAAAACAGCGTTTCGAAAAATCCGCAACGGCGCCACGCTACATTAGGAAACAAAAACGTTGCGAAAAATCCGCGACAGCACGAAACGCTACAATTAATCTATATTTAATTGTTCTTCTAGAAATAGTTAAAAGTGCGTTGCGCTTTTTCCGCGACGCTCGAAGATATATAAGTAGCTCATATTCCATCACCAAATCTTAATGTTGTCATGTTATATGTTGTTATGAATAAATAAAATATTACTGATCCTAGTAGTATTCTCCCGCAATCCTTTATTTTTTTTTCTATCATCGAAATAATTGATTATTAGGCCGGACACTCCAATAAACGGCTCATTTAAGCTGTAATGGAATAGCATTGATTTGATCAAGCTAGTAAGCTGTCCGTGGATCAATTACATGAATAACAGAACGAGAGTTCATAATTAATTATCGAGACGATTATTGTTTAATTAGTTTAGAAAGACAACGACTAGTCGATAAACAAATCGAAGATAGCCCTGTTTAATTTAAAAATAGTATTATTCTCCTTCGATTCTTTAGTAGAATAATTGTTGTTATTGTATTATGTATTTAGACAAGTAGGTTAATCGTAATCTTCATTAGCGCATAGAGTTTCTATTTCCCAGGGTGTAAAATTTGCTTCACAAGATTAATTCGATATATTGTATTTCGTAGCATGCATTTTTCTACTCTACTTGCGCTTTGAAAATTTCCCATCTAGAGTTCATTTTATTAATATGGTTGTTAAGATTTTCATCTGGTTCCAAATATGCCCATATATCATTTTCATTGTGAAATTTCTTATCTTCCATCTCTCTTTCAGATACCAATATTGCTTTGTATTTGTAAGTTTTCTGCATCTCATATATAGTTCATGCCTTGCTTCCATGTGTATCATTGATTTTTAAGCAACTATTGAAATCTTGTAATAGAAGTTTTTGGATAATTTTTGCGATTGTATCTGGAAGTTCAAGTGGGTTATATGTATGCCACAACATTTTTTGGTTTCCTGAATGCAGAGTTTTATGTCAATATTCCAGAAACACCTTCCAAAATTTCGTAAACTAATGGGAATTGTACTCGGCTTCAATAAAATAATGATCCGCACACCGAGTTGCCTTGCAAAATCAGCAAGATTTATGAAGAGAATCCCCGCAAGCATCTTAATTAATTAGTAAATAGTATTGCAAACCCCTTGCAGCCAACAAACCTTTAAAGATAACCTCCGCAAAGAATGGCATTTTTGGATAGCTAGTGGTGGTGCTGGAGAAACTGTAACAGGAATATCTTTCTCGTGCCAAGATAAGCGATGTGTGTGCGTTCATGGTAACATATCCGCTCAAACTATATAAGTTGACAAGTGTGGTATAACAGCGGATTTAGATAAGGATTCGTAAAAATACATTTGATAGATTACTTTTCAATATAAATCTTTGGGGGGCGGTACTTATTTTCGAAAGCAAAAATTTTTTACTTCGCAACGCAACTAACATCTTGCGACTATATAAAGGCTTGGAAATACGGAGTGTGTCAAAGAGTTTCTGTATAAATGTTCCTCCTAATTAAAAACAGACAAACCAACCAGACGCTCTGAACGAACAAATATATTTTTATAACAACAGTACGCCACTAGAACTACGGTCATCAAATAGACAAAAAGAAGGATCAGTTTATGAAAATATACAATGATTTAACTCAATAACGAAAATCTAATAGGTTTGCTGAAATGGTCTATTTTATTAGTATTAGACTAAACAATCGTAAATTGCAACTCAACACATAAACTTCCTAAAAAGGTTGTCATACGCAAGTGTGACACAATAAGTGTTGAGAATTCCCCTCCACTTGAAAAAAAAATAATTCAAACTATGTCGTTAACGTCAGGGGTTGTTAATAATCCAGCAATTGACAACTTGGTTCAATCCTCCTTGGAAAGCGAAAATGAACACTTAAGACTGAAATGGATTCCTTGCTCCGAAATTACCGACATAACGTCAAGTCCAATGGACAATGTCTACTACGCTAGTCGTTACAGAGTTAAGATAATGGTGCCATCACTTGGAATTGGCGAAGAATGTACGCCAACATTTGTGAGTGAGTTTGCAAGAATATACTCACTTCCAACACACAAGCACGATAGTAATAGCAACAACTTCAAAAGATATTCCACATGGCTTGAGAAACGCAACAGACTCATAAAGGGTTTTACCAAGGATGACGACAAGTACTATATGGTTGCTGATAGAAAGTTTTATCATTGTTACTCTCGATATGGATTCTGTTCTGCGTGTGGAATACTCCGATGTAGTCCCGTGTGGTGTATCTGTGGACATAAACAATTATCCGATGGATGGACTAGCAACAATAACCAACTCGATGAGTTTATTAAGAAATCTCAATTACAAACAAACTCACCAAATCATGCCTATTTGGAATGGATTCCAATCGATTGCATTATTGATTGGGTTGGACGTGGACTATCTGCTTATGCAGATGTTACATTGATTCCACTTGAAATAACAGACGAGGCACATTATTTATATTATAACAAGGTAGATTATTTATTTGTGCGTCATGTTTATTGGATAATTATTGACTTATCATTTCCACTAGTTATGTGATGAGCATCCAGATATTCTTACCACGAATGTTTGGGTTACCATCGGATTCACATATGATGTAAGTAAACAAAAGTATTGTCTAATAAAACACCGTTCTGGGGATGGATTATGTCTGGCGTGTATGGAGCAATTAGAACCTAAGATAAATGCATTCTGTTATGACTGTAAAGCACCAAGACCTATCGACTGGACTACGGGCAACAAGTCATTGGACTCATTCATTATGGAGTCATGGAGTAATGTGAAGAATAAATACGATGCATATATACAATGGATAGAGTATTCCCTATTGGTGAACGTACGAGAAATGAGCTCATTATGCAATGGATGCACACATACAACGGATTGGTTAGATCCGAAAACAAATGAATCTACACGTGTGACACTCAAGAAGATAGTTGACGGACAGGATGCTCAGTTATTTGATTTTCATCAGGTAAATTATTTCACCACAAATAGTATTAAGTATATATGCATCGCGTGTTTAACCGATGATTGTATTGTTTGCTCAAATAGCTAAATAAGGCATATCTGGAGATATTAACACCCGAGAATATTTGGATAATTGGGATTACTCAAGAGCCATCTACTCAAACATATTATTTAGTTTTCTACCATGAAATACGTCTGATATTGGACAAAATTATACTGCGTTATCATGTTAAGTATATTGATATGCAGTATGATGACTTTGATGAAATTAAAGAGATCGGATCTGGTGGTTATGGAACAGTCTATACTGCCAAGTATAAACTAGAGCATGAGTCAAAAACTGTTGTACTCAAACGGTTAAGAATTTTGATCGGATGCCGGAATTATTTATTTCCGAGGTAACAATAATTAGTAGTATTATTAAAGTGGTATTTAATCTGACTTTGTATGTATTTTATTTATTAGTTCAGAAATCATGCCAAGTGTTCAACATATGATTTCCTTGATATTTATGGAGTGACACAAGACCCAAAAACAAAAGAGTACTTGATTGTGATGCAATATGCTAACAATGGTAGTCTTCTATCTTATTTGGATCAAAATATTAACAAATTGACATGGAGGATGAAATTGGATCATTTGAAGAATATAGCAAGTTATCTGCACACTATTCATTACATGGGATTAGTGCATTGTGATCTACATGGTGGAAACATAGTTTTGCATGATTATGATGGTGATAATAATACAGAATCATTAATCTGCGATCTTGGTCTCTCACGATCAGTGAATTCATGCGAGTCAAGTTCAACCATTCGAGGCGTTTTACCCTTTATTGCACCAGAAGTCTTCCATACTTGCAAATTTACTCAGAAATCAGATGTGTATTCTTTTGGTATCATTATGTATTTGGTTGCTACTGGTGAACCACCTTTTAGAGATAGAGAATTCGATCGAGATTTAGTATGTGATATTATGGGCGGACTACGACCATCAATGCCTGATTCGGCACCAAAGGAATACAAGAAACTTGCCAAGCGGTGTTGTGATGCTGATCCTGATAAGCGTCCAGATGCAGACACACTTTCTGATGATATTTATAAGTTTATTGAAAAGATTTCCAAGGATAATTCTGATGACAACACGTGGAATGCCGTTTATCATAATGATGTAAAACCTTTATCATGTCTCGAAAAGGAAAGTAAATACTCTAGTAAGCTCTTACTTACAGGAGAATTACCTAAACCAAGAAATATGGATTCAGCCGCAGGTATGCAGTTATATGTTGATACAAATGAAGTCAATTTACAATTTAACATCGTCCATTTCTTATAATTTAGGGACTCAAACTCTTTTTTGAGTTAATTTGTAATTCGCGGGTTTATTCCTCTCCCAAATACGACATGCTTTCATGATGTCAATATGGTTGAGTAACAGGATTCTGAAATAAATCGCGCATGTTTACTGTTAACTGTTCTGAATATGTAAGAAAAATATATAGTACATTATTTATTACAAAGTAAATACCTAAAGTTTATGAAACTATTATAATCGTTCTTGAATATGAATAAAATGCATACTACAGTCAACTGCCGTTAATTCGACCGCCTCCGTTCCGGAGTCATCGGTCGAATTAACGCAAAGTCGAATTAAACG